AATCTAAAGCACTGAATGTAAACAAGTTCCAAAATGTAAAACCAGACAAAGATGCTTTGTGCTAAAATGTGATCATGTCTAGAATTGAATTTTATTTTTGTCTTAGAGTGAAAAGAGCAGCTTAAAAAACAACCACCACCACCACCCAACTGGGCTCTCAACTGACCAAAAAGAATCTCAACTTCCTCTCAAAATGAAATCAATTATGAAAACCCTTAGTGCAGAAGCTGGCAGAGGAAACTTGGCGGTAGAAATTAGTGTTTTATACCACCAACAGTACTGCTAGTAAATGAACATTAAGAAAGGTTCAGACACTGTGCTTGCTAAAAGCAGTGTCCATCAGCATCAGTATGACTGCTACTCTATTGAAGAGGGAGATAAAAACTAATAGACATGACCATCAGGAAATACTCGGCATGGAAGTAGTGACAAATGATCTATTTTTTCTTAGCTTTTAAAACCCCTTCAGAGAACACAACCCAAACTTTAAGAGTGGCTCTTATTACACAGTTAAGATACTTTCTATCGTTAAAACAGCTTATCCTTTAATTCTACCACTTTGAAGCACATTATACCAATGAGCAAACCTACTTCCAATCAACCTACAGCACAGGAAACAAAAATGCTATGAATTAATTTTTCTCCTCTTTTCCACATCTACTGGTGCTATGCTGTACTAACATGCAGCAATACATTATTAGGCTAACTAAAAATTGACAGTCAAGACAATGTTTAGTACAGACCTAGTAAACAGAAATTGTGCAAAGATTACAAACTGCACTTAGGCATGATAATGCTTTAAGGGTAAAAAAAAAATTATTTTCAGGTTGTCAGGACTGAGTTAGACACTTGAGTTGTCCTGGACACTTATAAGTAGCTCATCCCATAGCAACAGCCTGCAAATCTTTATTGGATGGGATGTACATAATGCTGTCATCCTGTTTGAGTTTTTAACTTTTGACAAATTTAATATAAGTACATTATTTTACAGATACAGTTAGGCTAATGCAAAACTAGCTCACCAAAAAAAATGCTGTCTTGCTTATAAAAACCTACACTTCATATATGCTAGTCAGTTGTAAGGAGTATCCACTGGCATATATAACGTAATTTTATTAAAGAATCTTCCTGAACACAAAAAACATTGGCTGTCAGTTTACTGGGGGAAAAAAAGACCCTGGAACAGGTTTATTTTGATTACTTGTTAATAGAGTATTGGGTATGTAACAGCCTTTGCTCTTCAAATGACAGATTTCAGGTTGAACTTATCCACACACATTAGATCATTTTGCCCAGAAAGATGTGTCATTTTCATCGTGTTTATAACAGCGATAAAAACAATCATGTAAGGGAACTGTTTTTATATATAAGGTTGGTATAGGTAAACACAGTAAATCATTCATCTTTTTCACACTGCAAATGCCATAAGGAAATAGCTTTTTTCAAAATAAATCTGTAAGCTATTACTTTATTGTACTGATAAATCAGCAGTAGACAGTAACACTGTCATAACAGTATTAGTATCCTCCTGCCACCACCATACAACAGTCACTAAATAACATGTGCCTTGTTTTCTTTACTTGATGCTAGTTATTTTTTTTCTTTTAACATTTAGATAAAGTCAATTTCGATCCTAAGCTGGCACATCCAGTGTTTATTCTGAAGAAGGCAAAATTAACATTTCATTTCTATTTCTATTTCTGTTATATTATCAAACATATCACAATCATCTTTCAAGCATAGTGAGGACAGTGGCTCCAGAAGTTACAGGACTGTTACAGGCATTACTGAGAAACAGCCTGGTCAATTTAGATAACAAGCCATTATATATTTTACCTCCATTTACCTCCGTTGACACATGGAAAAGAGTAGGCATACTATCAACAGTAAACAGCATCATTAAAACCACGATCACATTTGACCATGATCTAATTAGGACCTGTAAAGCAACATCTGAAATATACCATGGAGACCACAGGGTCACATTACTAGTTAAGCTAAATATATATATATTTTTAATATATATATATTTTTAAGTAATGGTTAAGCAGTAAGTGGGACAATTCCATCTAAACTAATAGCTATATTTAAATGCAATGACCAATATCTAGCACTATGGCCGATAAGTAGATAAAATCCTATCAAGCACAATTACCCTCTACATACAATGGAGAAAAGCATACAGATAGACCATAATGACATACTGGAATAATAAAATGGGCTAGGAAGGGAATATGAGCAAATAAATGATAGCTTGATGAACACATGAAGGATACCCTACCACTAGAGAAAGACTTCCCTTAGAGGAATAAGCCCATGTACACGTTCATAAGCTAACTGTGCAAAACACCAAATACTTGGATCAGACTTGCCTGTCTTCTCTGTGACTGAAAACGGTCTCATGTTTGAACACAGTTATAAAAAGAAATAAGGCATTCCCCAAACCTGAGCTGATGAATTCCTTCCCTTTTTGTAAGATAGAAGGGAGAAGACCAGATTGAAAATTGTATCTGAAAGATGTTTTCAGTAGTTTAGCTGGGAAAGGAGTAACTCCAAGAAGTTCTCATCGGAGGAATGTATTTGTCTGCTGGGCTCAATTATTGAAAAGACTCAAGTTTCTTTGCTCATCTCATTCATGCTGATTTACTGCAGAGAAATTATCCAGCTTGGCAAACCAAGTAGCCTCTGAAGTACCAGAAGCAGTCCTATATGCCAAATTATTTGAAATAGATGCAGCCTGAAGACTTATTTATGAGTTCTTCTATTGGAAAATGAAGACAATATATATGATCGCTTAACAGAAATGTTCTTTGACAAATTGTGAAGTGTTTAAAATTCACCAGTGAGGCTGATGCCATAAAAATATTTTAAAAAGAAAACAGTCAGCTCAGCAGCCACAATTTAAGAGAACACCAGCCTTAAAATGCAGACAAACCATTCAGTTTGGGCTGCACTCACCTACACAATGGGGCAAAAGCATTTTGTTAAGGTGCTAGTTCCAGGGTACTTACTGATTAATCTAAATAATCCAGTTACTGGTGAATGCTGCACTTCCTCTGAAGTTGTTCATGTTCATGGTAAATGACTCCAAGAGTACGCTCTAGTTTAAGTTATCCAGGGACAAGATCAACATTCCTAGCTGAAAAGATGATGTGGCATCACTCTGCTGCTCAATGCTTGAAGATTTCAGTGATCAAATAGTACTTAATGTGATCTGAGGTCCAAGTGACAGAAATAAAAAATTCTAGAAAGGAAGAATTCCTCACCATGCTGCTGAGATCACTTACACTCAAGTAGGAATCATGACTCTTGTAACAGTTCCACAGCTTAGCTGTTGCAACTGCTCCCTGGCACAAATTGAAAACCACAAGCAGCTGAGACTACTTTTCATGAAACAGCTTTGCTTATGTCTGACAGCAGAAGAAAGCTTGTGTTCTGAGGGTCTTCAGAAGAAAACTGGTGGGTTAATAATGCTGATGTAGATGAAATTCAGCACCTGCCTCAAGTAAATATTTGGGATGATCATTCAGGGATTTTTATGCCTTTTGTAGGGCCAAGTAAATAGGCTGGAATTTCACTGTGCATTACACAAGCAATAGCTGCTATGAAGACTGTCTCCCTGAGGAGGTGCCACAGCAATCAGTTTTAAAGGTTGATTTGCCACAGTGGGTCGTATCACCAGGATAAAGTACTGAGCTCCTAGGAAACTCTGCTGTAAGAACTAAGCCTGACAGATTCTGGAGGCAGAGAAAGGCTCACTGCCATGAAGGTAAGCTTAGTTCTTAAGTCACTATGAGGGAAATGGAGCAGCAAAATTCCATGCTTCTCTTTTCCTTCAGGCCTCCTCTAACAGACCACAAATCAATGCAACAGTAAGAACTGCTTGAAACTTATCCCTCTGCAGCCACAGTTCTTGGAGAATGTGGACAAGAAGAATGAAGAGTACTTGAAAAATGAATTCAATATTTTTTTCAAGATCCCCACTGGATTTGTGTTGTGTCACTATGTTCTTCTTCCAAAGCAAAATCACTCCTAACAGGAAAATTCATGTGTCCCAGCATGATGCCAAAGACTTAAACTGACATCAAATATAGGGTTTTTCCCAGCTACTGTTAAGAGTTGTGGACAAATCCCTGAGTACTTGCTAATATATTTACATAATGGTCCCCTAAACAAATGGAAAGAATACATATGGATACCTGGAAGTGTATAAAACCTTAATCTGTGAAATACAGCTGGAAGCCTAATGTCTCACGCAGTGGATTACAGAATGTCCAGTAATAAAAATAAAATCAAAGACACAGAGAACAGATAAAAAGACAGCCAGCTGTTAAGATGTGAGAAGGGCTATGAGTTAATCTGTAAGTTGGGTTAGGCTCCAGTTTTGTTAAAATACGTGAAGTAATGGGACATGAAATCACAATGTCATTGAAAGACCAAAGTCATCCATGACTGCAAGTCTTTGAGTATGTGCATAATTTGAATACAAGGACGCCTTTGGATAAGCATTCAAAAGTGTAAGCCTTCCAATCTTTCTTAACATGTGTTAAAACTGGGATGAATATTTCTTGATATTTCTGTTTGTTACCAAGAAAATGGCAAGGAGATTGTTGTACCACTTTCGTGAAGCAAACCTCTAGTTTTGCAAGACAAGTTACAAAAATGATTATTTCTACCTTTGTGGAGTTACAGACGATCAGAACAAGTTATTTTTGGCAGTATAGAAAGGGACTTGGCATTTCAGGTTGATGTTTACTGAAGTGAACTTCTTTTGAAAACATCCAATAAAAGATGTCTCAAGGTTTTAACAAGGTACCCTAATTTAGCTTATATCTGTACAAAAACAAGTTTTAAAGATTTTAAGAAACTCTGTACAACTCATTACTGTGAAATTAGTTTGCAAACTACAGATACCACCAAGATTCCAAAAAAATTCTTCATATGCAACCTTTACTTGCTAAAATATATTACATTTCACAGATGCTTTCTAGTATCCTTACCTCTTGTCCTGAAAGGTAGTACGCTGCTAGAAGGCCTCCAATGAAGCGAATATTGACCTCAAAAACAGATACTTCAGAATTCTGGAACATGAAGAAAAAGTAAGTAATTAACCACCCCTCTAATCAATGAAAAATAATGTCACCATGGCAACTGGGACATGAGTAGACAGTCTTAAGTTGTGCCAGGGCAGGCTTAGATTGGTAATAGGAAAAATTCCTCAGTGGAAAAGGGGTCAACACTGGAATGGATTGCCCAGGAAATTGGTGGAATCTCCATTCCTGGACACGGTACTAAGGGACATGGTTTGGTAATGGGGCTTGGGAAGTCATCCTGTTGGCTGGACTTCAAGATCTTGTATGCCTTTTCCAACTTAGATGATTGAATGATTTTAGTAAAAACCTTTGGTTTAGGACGTATTTCACTACCTAAATCCATATTGAAATTCCTGTGTGTACCCTTTATGACACAATGACAATGTGAGTTCCATGTTCAACTGATTTTTAAAAATCAAATTAGTTTTTATCTTCTTCTCTGATCATATTATCACTACAACGTGCAATTGAAGTTGTTTGGGAATAGTGGGAAAGAATAACTTAAAAAAATAAAACAACTTTGAGCCACATAAGAAAATCATTCAAGCCCTTCATATTTAAGGCAACTTCTTAACCTTCATTACACAGCAAGCTGTAATTTAACCCCCCAGTGCGATATGTAAATTTATTCCACCTAAATCATAAATTAATTCTGCAAATTCATAGACAGCCTCACAACAGACGAAAGCAACAGTAGTTAATTTATTCTACATTCATGATGGCACCATTATGTCTACACCATCTCTGATGTATTTAGCATCTTCAGTTTTAGACTGAATAATTATTTGGCACTAACTTAAAAAAAAGTATTAAGTAGAATTTCTTTCATGTTTGCCACAGTAAATGTACTAAAAAAAAAAAAAAAACAAAAGAAAAACCCACCAACCAATCCTTTCTGAAATGTAGATTTAATTTGAGGATAACAAAAAGCATTTGTTCAATTCTGACTGAATATCAATGTTTCATTTTGTTGGTCTGGGAGGAAATCCTCTTTCACAACTCAGTTACTACCTAGTAGTTCCAGCTACTACAACCTAGTAAAGCTTTATTTTTGCTGCATTAATTTCTTCTATAGAGGACCTACTAATTCTCATTGACTTTTCTGTCATTCTCTAACTGTATTTGTATTTTCATAATAGTAGATATATCCTTAATTATAACTGGAGCTTGAAAGGTGTTTTGTTGTGGATTTGTTTGTTTTTTAAAATATGAAGTCAGAAACAGAGAACTTCATTAAAGTTTGCATCTGAACTTCAGATGCAAATTCCAGCTGAAAGACTTCTTCGTTCTCCCTCTAGGCAGAACACCAATAAAAGGACTAGAGAAATAATAGGACAAGTTCTACTCACCACACTGAAATCGAGATTCTTGTCAATCCATTCTTGTCCTTCTCGGAATTCATCATGAAGCCCCATTATATAAAGAGTATCCAGTGCATCTACTATGGTAGCACCCATTTGTGAGTTTCCTACACACAAAAAGGATTTCTGTTACAAATGATGATTACTTTTCTTGAACATCACAAGCATAATACAGCTGCAAAACAAAGTTACTAAAAGATGACAGCACAAGGAATAGCCAAATTGAGCAAGGAATTAACAGCAACATAAGAGGATAACATCTTTTTCAAAGCTTTAGTTCTCTGACACAGTTTGGATTCTAGGGAGAAAAGACAACAAAAGAAAGAAAAAAATCTCTTATCTGTTTTCATAACTTGAACATAACTCTTCTTTGACACAAGTAAAAGACAGCAAAGCATTCTGGTTCAAATACTACTAGGAATTCTAGGACAAAAGTGTTTAAAAAATACACACACAAAAGATAAAGCAATTTGTATATGCAGCTATGCCTTGCATTTCCCAACATTTACTGAACTGTTTTGCAGTTATGGAAGCTCCCCAGAGCCCGAAAGCACTGATGAACAAGCAGTGTGCCTTGGCTTGGCTTGACAGATAAACCAAAAGTACCAAGTTTTTTCACTTTCTTGTCTGCTGAGCCTCAAAACTCTGACATGCTAATGAATTCTGGAATTATCACTGAAGAAGAACACCTGAAGCCAAATGAAAATCAATGATGCTTTATCCTAAAATGCCATCTGAAACAAAAGCAGTTGATTAATGAGCAACTCCTGAGTTGTAGGAAGAAGACAGCTGAACAGGTGGCAGGCTCCAACATTGTTAGGCCATCTCAATCTAAGCTCTTGCACTTAAGGCAGAGATTTTCATTTATGGAGGAACACAAGAATTACTACAGGTTTACTTACTTCATGTTTGAATATTTACAGGGCACTGTTGCAAACTGGTTGTTTCTCTTCATTCATTTCTGCATTTTATTTACTTACAGATTGGCTTATTTATTTATTCCTACAGCACAATAACAACTTAATTGAGTCAACAACCCCATAGTAACTCTTCTAAAATAAACACCTACGTAACTGTTAACTACAACTTAATTTCGTTCTCTGATTAATAATAAATTAAACACAATAATCTCCTCACAAAGTAATCACCAACTAATTTATTCAAAAATAAGTATGCATCTGCTTTAATGAATTTGAACTAGATACAGAAAGCCCTAACTCAATGGTGTGTTAAGAGTATTCAAGTTCAGATTGGGATATGCTATATTTCTTAAGATTAATCAGAAGACATGCCCTTTGACAAGTTAGCCACAAGGCACACCTATAACTCTCAGGAAATGAATTCAGTTCAGTGCTTAAGTACTGTAATATAAATCCATTGCTCATGATGGAGTGTTGCCTTTGGACGAGCTACAGAATGCACTTAACTGGTACTGTTCCATACACACAATATGACAGTTTTCTAATTTTTCACTTCAGAGAGATGTCAAGTGGATCACAACACAAGGACTAATTTCAGTTCTAGCTGACAAGGTAGTTCTGATGTGAAATCAGAATGTATAACACTGCTATGGCACTCAAAGTAATTTCTGTTGTTTTATTTAAACCAAAATGAAAACGTTTCCAAGTACACAAGACGTTTGAGTAAATAGGGATACACTGATAATCTCCTTCATGTAAGATCCTCTCCATTGTTTGCAACCACAGAAATAAACACAGTTCAGCTGAACAAAACAGACTTCTCAGCATTTTTCCCCCTAGAGTCAATTACAGGTGGAGGTTCATACTCTCATTTTTTTTTCTGGGATGCATTCCAGAATCTCCCTTGTGTGACTTTTTGCTTCTCTCCTCTTTTATGCCTATCTTTCCCAGACACACAAATGCACAACAGAGCATTACTGAGAAAAGTTGCTTGTAGTCATACATGCCACTTCCCTTGAGCAGAGACAAATGCCTCTTTCTGAGATACAAATTACAGTTGTAATTTCTGGATTATATGGAAGAGATTAACCATTTCTTACAAAGGTCCTTTAAATATAGCATTAATATTCCAACATACAAAAATATTTTCATTTCTCTACTGATCATAGGCTGCTATTTCACATGGATTTGGTTTATTTTTCCATTTTCTTCTTACAGATACAGTAATTAATCCTAACAACTCACCAGAACATACAATCACAGAATCACAGAATGGCCCAGGTTGGACAGGACCTCAAGGATTGTGAACGTCCAACCCGCCTGCCACATGCAGGATCACCAATCTCCCCATTTAATACTAGACCAGGCTGCCCAGAGCTCCATCCAACCTGGCCTTGAACACCTCCAGGGACGGGGCATCCACAACCTCTCTGGGCAGCCTGTCCCAGTACCTCATCACTCTCTCTGTAGAGAACTTCCCCCTGACATCCAACCTAAATCTTCCCTCCCTCAACTTAAAACTATTCCCCTTGTCCTGCTGTTATCTCCCCTTTCAAAGAGTTGGCTCCCCTCCTGTTTATAAGCTCCCTTTAGGTACTGAAAAGCTGCAATGAGGTCAACCCGCAGCCTTCTCTTCTCCAGGCTGAACAAGCCTACTCCGTTAGCCTGTCTTCATAGGGAAGGTGCTCCAGCCCCCGATCATCTTTGTGGCTCTCCTCTAGACCCTCTCCAACAGCTCCCTGTCTTTCTTGTACTGGGGGCCCCAGACCTGGACGCAGTATTCCAGATGGGGCCTCACAAGAGCAGAGTAGAGGGGAACAATCACCTCCCTGTCCCTGCTGGCCATCTCTCTTCTGATGGAACCCAGGATACCATTTGCTTTCTGAGCTGCAAGAGCACACTGCTGGCTCATGTTAAACTTTTCATCCATCAGGACCCCTGGGTCCTTCTTTACAGGGCTGCTCTCAAGGACTGCTCCTTCCAGTCTGTATAAATACATTTTTTCAGATTCCTCTGGCCCAAGTGCACAACCTTGCACATCTTTCTTGGGGAAGACCACTCTTTTGTTTTTTAGACTTTTTGGGAATACATTTCAAAAAGTCAAGAGATAACATGTTGCAACAGATTCTCTACCCAGACTTCTTCCTTAAATGTCAATCGGGCACATAAATCCCACTCTTCCCTCAAATCATCAGTGAGAATCAAGAATCCAAAATGTAAACTTCTTTTCCAGAAATCTTGTGTCTACAAGAACAGAGGGTACATCAGAAGGACATAGTGACATATCTTTTGACAACCTGGCCCCTCACGTACCTATACCTCTCATGAAATGAATTCAGTGTAGTGCATAAGCACTATAAGAATCAACACCTCCAGCCTGTGCTGAATTCCATCACAGAGGATAACAATCCCAACAATCCCTTAGCTGTCCCACACAGCAAGATAAGTACAACTAAAAATTATTCATGGACTACAGTAGCTTGGCTCAGAGATTCAAATTCAAATTGCTCTCAGTTTCTTTCTTGGAGGACTCCAGGTATTCGTATGTGGGAAATGTCATTCTTGACTTGATCCTAAATATGATAAGCTTCTGGTCAGTTCTTGTTTCTGCTGCAGATCACAAGCTAACCGGAATAGGCAGTGAGGTTGTCATGGCTATCTTCTTCCATCCTAAAATGCACAGTACCAGCAAAGCAGCAGCTAAAAAGTGAATTAAGAGTTCAATTGCCTGCCTTAGAGTTGTACATAGCACTATGGTGAGAACAGACTACAACAGACAGGTAGCTATAATTCCTCCTATTGATGATGCAAACCATTCATCCTTAATTCTCAAAGAGGTTGTTTTCCACTCATAATAGAGTATGTGAGGAAAGTTTTGTTCTTTTTTTCTTTCTTTTTACATTTCATAGCCATGTAAAGATTAATACATTTTTGCTTTAAAGAAGAGGATAGTTTTCATGGACTTCAATTGCATGAGTTGTTTGAAAAGTAATCAGTAACTCTAAATAATCAGATAATTTAGAGGAGGATGCTTACTACTACCCCTACAAATCTGATGTGGTATTGCACTGGATGCATGGAGAGCAGATGTCTCATTGTGGTGAAAAAGGCTACAAAACAATTAATTCATAATAGATAATAACACTTCTAACTGAAGGTACTCCCTCCAGGGCCTGCCTTTGTTCAATACAAAGTCTCAGTTGGTCACGTTGCATAAGATAATAACTGATTCCAAAAGAGTTTGATTTTACGAGTGTCAATTCTTGAAATTTCTTCTTGATATAATTACAGTCCTAGTTGTTTGAGCTCCAAATTTAATGAAGTTTATCAAATGAATGCAATGTTCATTCTTCTAAATAAAACAGAACATTCATCATAAGCTAATTAAAGGAATTTAGTTGCAAAATACATCAACTATTAATCAAATCATGCACACTCATTAAGGAAGAGTATTACTCAAAAGGACTGCAAATTGTAAGTCAGGTTTATATTTAAGTAGACTTCAGTTTCCTGAGGTTAGACAAATAACTCACTTGTTTGATAGTACACGAATCCACAGCCTGAAATATCTAGCAAATGATATGACAGTGTAAACAGTAGGGCTATTAAAAGAAAATTGGCCTTTCTATCTAAAATTCCTTCAATATGCTGAAGTGCTAGATGAAGAACTGCTTTATTTACAGCTTTTTGAAGTCTCACAAGAGACTACCAGAGTATGAGACAACAGATCATTGTCATGTGCTCCATGACAGAAAGTGTATGAAGACAGTAAGTAGCCCATTTTTTTCTATAACAAAAGGTTAAGTATAAACATTTAGAAGTCTTGATACTAGATGCAATGCTTAGTCTATTATGTGAAAACAGAAGGGACTGTGAGCACTGAGCTACTAAAGAAATTAACTGAAATGAGACCGCAGAAATGACACATCATGTAAAGAAGGAACAAGATGATGCTCTATCCCAGGAGACATTCAAGGTCAGGGTGAACCAGGCTCTGAGCAACCTGATCTAGCTGTAGATGTCCCTGTTCACTGCAGAGGAGTTGGACTAGATGACTTTTAAGGGTCCCTCAAATGATTCTATGATAAATTATTTGCCAGCAAGCTGCAGTAATGTACCCTGAGTTGAAAAGCAATCATCAAGCAGGTACTTCACAGAAACTTTGATTATCTGACCTGTCACTCATA